GCTCATAAACGACGGCTTAAATAATTCTGTTCTGAAATTTCGCCTGCACTTACCTGAATGCTGTACATAATCTCTTTATCTACCTTGAACTATAAAATTCATTGTAACCTTTTCGTCTTGAAAATCACTTTGAGGAAAAAAAAAAGAGGAAACAGTTGAATACTGGTTCTCTTTTACTCATAAGTCCTCTTATCATCGGTGGCTGGGAGGGGCTCATCCTGCTCATGATCTTGTGCTGATCTTAACTTTAGAAAGCATTTCTCCTTTCCGTGTATGAACAAGCATGAGAAATATGAAAGGCATCCAGGGATGAAATATTGCTATGTGATTTTAGGGACAAGTGAGTGTGAGCCTGGGGAATGGGGGGTTGGGGGAGCATGCAGGGGGTGAGCGGATGCGCTAGCGCGTGAAGGTTGTAGAGATGGCAACCCAGGTGCTGGAGGCTTGTGCGTGGCGAGAGTGGTATGGGGCTGACGGCCGCTGGTGGGGCTGATCAGCCATCTCCCTCGGCTCCCCTTTCGTCATGAGAGCACGAGGCTGGAAGGACCTGAGGGATCGTCCAGGTTACCGCTGACACTCTTAGATCAAATGCCTCCTAGACGATCCCTGATGTCTAACTTGAAATGTCTCCAAAGAAGATTCCTGTCTTAGCCTCTGCAACCCACGTGAACATTTGACTGCACAGTCCTCACTTTGTCTAGCCAACATTTTTCTAGCTTGGTCCAAGGCCTTAGAAGAATGAAACCTCTGAAGAGGTAAGAGCTGCCTTGGTGGCATGAGAAAGGCAGCCTGGGTGGTCTGGAAGGTTAGTGCATGAGGACAGGGGGCTGTGGGCCAGTTTCTAGTAGGGATACATAGGACTACAGGGCTTCTCACTTTACTAGAAACCTTCACATAGATCTTCATCTGGAAAGGGTCTCCTGAGCAATCTCAGCAGCCAACTAGCTAGAGAAGTAAAACCTGCCCCCCTCCAACTTGGAGCTGGCACAGCGCCCCCATCAGGTGAGACGGCAGCATGAGGTCTGTCCGCCTCTGCCCAGTTTCTGCTGCCTTTACACGCAGCTCTCCCCTGGCTCTCTGGATAGCTGGCGACAGTAATCGCTAACAGTGACTGAGCATTTTCTATGTCCCAGCCCTCCCTGGGGGTCGTGCTCGACATAGAACATCATAGCCAACGCTGCCATCATAGCACGAGGCGGGCTGGCGCCATTCTTGCTCCCGTTTCACAGATGGTAACACTGAGATCTGGGGAAAAGACTGACTTTCCCCAAGAACACACAGTAAGTGGCAGATTCGGCACAGAGGTGCGTCCTGCTCAAGTCTGTGCTCTTTGCCCCGGTGACGTCTTGCCTCCCAGAACCAGGGTGGGCAGGGTGGGCAGGGGTGCTCTGGTAGGCAGTCAGTGCCAGGGCCGGAGATGTCACAGAGGGACATCGGAGGTGCAGGAATACATGGGAGAAATACAATGGCGTCTATAGCCTCTATAGACTCTAAGAGCCTATAATATAAATATGCAAATCAGGATTTTGTGTCATCTTGGTGGTTGGGAAACTGGCTCATATGACAGGCTGGACTGTGAAAATCAGGAGGTAGAGGAAGGAGAGAGTACAGAACTGACTTATCCTGGGGAACAGAGTGAGGAGGAGGGAGAGAAAGAACAACTGACCCGGGAGTGGAGGGCAGCTGGGACAGGATGAAGCTGAGGGTGGCACTCCGAGCTTTGGTCCTGTTTCAACACAGGAATGAGGGGAGACTACTGAGCCCCATTTATAGCTGCACCCTGGCTCATTCTGTTCAACCCGCAACTCAGTTCAGAAAAACTTATGACCACAGGGCTCATTCCCCCTGCAAATGTCTCAGGCTGTATCTGAGTCTTATCCTCACATGATGTAAAATGAGATGTGATAGGACCCAGTGTGACTCTTGAGGCAGAGGCAGTCACAGTGGACTGTCTAGTCATTTTCAAGTCAGCACAGCCAGATTAAGCAATCAGGGTGACCAAACCTGGAGATAAAAAACATGACGCTTTACAGCCTTGGCCCGTGATATGGTCAAGGCCAAATTTGTGGCTGGAGTATTTTTAAGACAACCTGCACCCAATTAAGATCAATAAACGGTAAATGGGGTGTTTTATTGTTGCTCTTTGCTACCAAGTTCCATCAGCTCTCTATCTGTGGGCAGCTGCCCAATTAGGCCCGGGCTACATGCCTTCTTCCTGTGATGCCCCAGGAGCCAGTGGGGTGGGTGGTGAGGAGTTACTAAGCCACGAAGAGGCTTGCTCCCCGAAAGGGAGAGGAAAGGTCTGGAAACCCCAGTAAGGCTCAGAGGTAACCCCAGGGGTTCAGAGGGGATTGACAGGATACAGTACGACCCAGATTATTTCCTCTTCTTTGGGGAGGCCCAAGCCCCAATTGCATCACTCTGGTGCGCCCCAGCTCCTTTCAGGGGGTTAGTGCCAGGCCTTTGACATGCAAATTCTATAATCTCACTGCTGATAAATGGCCCTACAGTCAAGATGACTAGTACTGTCTTGCCCAGTTGGCAGTTTATTAGTGCTCCTACCAATCCCAGTTTTACACTCTTTTTAATTCTTAAAACCCCACAAAAGTGGGGAAAAGTAGAATTGGCCTTAATGAAAGAACCTCACCAACTTGGGCTATAAAATTAGGAACTGCTTTAGTTGTGTGACTTTGGACAGTTGCTTAATCTTGCTGTACCTCAGTTTCCCCATCTGTACAATGAAGACGAGAGTATCCACCTCTTGGGGTCCTGAAAGAGTAAGCGCACTGAAAGGATTTGGAACAGATAATAAACGTGCACTAAATGTTAGTCATTATTGTTAAGTGAAAACATCTTTTGCAGTTGAAAGCTGACGCTCTCAGAGGAAGTGCATTGTCGTTATTCCCCTTTCAAACACTGAAGCCTGCACGCCCAGTGCAGTGTGGAATAACTTGGGGGGTAGGGACGATGGGGGTGGGTACGAGGACTAGCTGGGGAGGACGGCAGGAGGGCAAGACCCGAGGTCTCTAAATATCCCTTATCCAAGAGGAAGGGGAGGGTCGGTGTGACCTCGGCCTGACCTCTCGCTGCCATCTGAACTCAGGGGACACAGCAGTTCCAGCAGCAGCAGACTCAGCACCTGCTGATCGAATGGCGCGTGGCCAGCCTGCCCAGGAGTGCAGGCCGCCTGCCGGCCTTGTGACACTCAGAAGGGAAGCGAGGTTTAGGATGACTGACGAAAGACTGGAAGCCGAGCTCTGACCCTGGAGGAAGACTCTGAGTTTTAGTAAATATCCTGTACCTCTCCCCTCCTCACAAAGAAAAATGACGAAGCGGCAATGGAAATCCTATCACTGCAAGACGACTGGCTGTCGATAACCTGTCTGATAGGTCTGGGATTATCCTAAAAGAATGGACTTAACCCAAAGTGACCTATGCAGCTGGCTCAAGAATAGATTGTAAAGAGGGAAGCTGCTGAGTGATTACAGACTCATCAGAGAGGAATGTGGGTCCCTTTCAGGGCCGTGATAATAGATTTTGTAAACACACACTGGAGGCAAGGTTTATTCTTCATGGTCTTTACCAGTGTGGGATAAACCATAGCAAGTTAATCAGTCCCACAGAGCAGTGAAGACCCTGAATTGTAAAGTAACTATGAAGGCCAAAAAGTTCCAAGGTCAGAACGATCCCTCCCTTTCCAGAAGTCTGTTGGGTTAGTATTGTAAAGATTTAGACTCTAGACTGGATTCACTCCTCACCAAGTCTGAAACTTTGGGCAACCAATAGCTCAACTCTTCTGAGCCTCTCTTTTCTTCTCATTTATAAAATGTGCCACAGTGTTCACACTGGAAGTAGTGGTAGAAAGACCTGCCTTAACTCCCAGGGATATTATGAAGATCTTGTGAGACCACGTAGGTGAGAGTGCCTAGGAATGGCTAAGTGTTAAATAAAAGTAAAAGGGAGGCTCTAGCTACTTTACTCATTCAAAAGTATACTTTTCACCTTGGAATGAAAAAAAAGAACCCCAAGGGCCCTGGCCAGGTAGCCCAGCTGGTTAGCATGTCATTCCCATATGCCAAGATTGTGGGTTTGATCCCTGGTCAGGGCACATACAAGAATCAATCGATGAATGCATAAGTAAGTGGAATAACAAATCTATGTGTGTGTTTTTCTCTCTTAAATCAATAAAAAAATACAGTACTGCATAGGCAATATAGTCAATAATAATAATAATAAGAGACCCCCCATCAGAGACTGTTACTACTGGCCAGACAGCCCTCGCTGCTCTGTCATTGCCCATCCCTTTTGTAGTTAGAGGGAGGCCATGTTCTGGCCAATCAAATGTGAGCAAGGTGATGGATGTCCCCTCTCAGAGAGGTAGTTAGGCAGCAAGGGCCTCCTCCATCCCCTCTCTTCTTTGCCACGGCAACCTTGGAAGCTACATTTCTCCAGATGGCATAGTTAAAGAGGGAAGAGGGCTGCTGAACTTGCACTATACTTTACGTGAATGAGAAATAAATATTATATCTAGCTACTGAGAATTCAGTGGTTAGTCTGTTGCAGCAGTGCTTAGCAGTCATTACAGAGATTCAGAACAGAAATCTTGGTCAGTATGGGACAGGCCATGTTCATTACAGGGGTAGAGAACCTTTTCTCTGCCAAGTGCCATTTGGATATTTATAATATAATTCACAGGCCATACAAAATTATCAACTTAAAAATTAGCTATGAAAAAAGCTCCTAGATTTATTGAATTTTGAGTCCCACCTATGGTTGCCTTGGCAGGGCCAGACCAAATGATTCTGAGGGCTGAATAGGGCCTGCAGGCCGGACATTCCCCACCCCTGTTAAAAGGATACACAGAAGGTTATGTCAACCTTTCTTCTCAGGAATTTGCTTTAAGTCAAGAGTTCTATCCATTCTGCTCAGAGTTATTATTTTCATTGGATATCTACTCTCCTAGAGGAGATGGGACAAATCCTTCTAGACAAAACAAATTATTTCTTTTTGCTACAAAATGCATTTATTTCCAGACAGATAAAATTCTCCAACTGCATACAGTATATGAGTATATATCATAAGGTCCTTCTTTGATAAATGTCCCATTTACAAGAGCCATTTCTAATTATTAGAATGCATACCAAACAAACATCTCCATCTCTTAAAATATAACTTAAATAAACTGCTAACGTATAAGCCATAAGTCCGGTCATTGACGTGAGTGGCATGCGGTTCTTCAGTGAGGAGTCCAGAGCAGTAATGACACGTTGCCCCACAGTGAGATTCCACCAGTCAGCAGGCAGCCAGCACCTCTAGTTCATCTGCTGATTGTGTGGAGAAGTTGCTGTTGTGGCAGTGAGCCTTGTGTGAAAAAAGAGTTAGGTACAGACAAAGAAGTAGGACATATGCAACATGGCGAGGCATCTCACGGACGCAAACACCGTTCGGGTAAATGAATGGGCTGCAGAATGAAAGCTCGGTGAACGCAGATCTTCACCGGAGCCCACTGGGCGCTCGATACTGCGGCACCGTCTCAGCGGCGCTCAATAAATACCAAGGCAAAGATAAGAGGATCAGTTGGAATGTTGTCTTGGTGCCCAACATGTTTTCAAGATGGAGCTTTAGGTTATGAATTTTTTGCATACCATTTTTTGTTTTTTGGAGCAAATCACCCGATTTGGAAAGCCATCCATTTCCTTATCTGGAGATTGTTCATGAGCGTGTAGAGACTTCTCGCAGCTGCCAGCGTTGGGGGCTCACCAGCTTAAAGAAGAGCACAGACAGGTCCACACAAAGTCTTGATTTGTCCCTGTTTGGCTCAGAGTATTTTCTAGGATCCAGTTTATTCTTCACACCTTCTCTCCTTTTGGTTCCTCTTAATATCCCAAGCCTGAAATAGCCATGGAAACTCACAGGCTGAACAGTGTATTTCTTCATGAACTCTCACTTCGCTATAACTGTCTCCAGTGCTGTGGCTCCCTCAGGGCTTGGAATAGTTGCTCTCTTGACGTGCCGTCCTTCAGCGTTCACCACCTGCTCCCTGACGTGAACGTTCCCGTTCTAAGGCTGATGCTGGGGAGTCCCCACCAAGGAAATTCCTGGAAAAATCTGTATCCCCTTGTGATCCACCTCTCTCATTCCATCAGGCTACAGTTGCAATTCTGGAGACACAAAGGAAAAGTTTCTAAACTCATCCTGGTTAATCATAGGAAGATGTCCCTCATCAATTGGAGTTAAAACAGGCTCTTCTTTTATGAAGTCAGGGTCAAAATTACTGACATCTTCTCGGGATTTCTGTCAACAAGGAAACAAGGGTCACATTATGCACTTGAGACTAACTGGTCTTCCATAAGTCTTAGCCCGGTGAGTTCAGAGAACTGCTCTGCCACTCACACTGGAGCATTATTTACAGTTATAACAATTATGATTAAACAGCATTTTATACTGAATCTACTGCATTGTGTATTATTATGGCATTTGGTAACCACCAATTCACTAATCCCATGAAAATCCTGCTGGGTAAGGCCAGTGGTAGGCTGGGAGGCTAAGGAATTAATTTGGTCACTTGAACCAGCCGACTCACTCACCCTTTACTCTCCATTTCGCTGAGGTGCCACTTCTCAACAGGCTGCACCGAGAGGCACACAAGCTCATATTTGTCAAGTTCACACTTGCCCCACTTCTTGTTTGTACACAGGTCTATGTGCCTGAAGAGATTTTCTCAAAAGACTTCTTGGAAATGCTGAGTTTAGGGAACAACTGCCCCTTACTGTACTCGCCTGTGAGATTCATTATGCCCAGCTGGCAAAACTCTCCCTTATCCCAAGGAGCTGGCAGGTGGGTGCCCATTAAAAGCAGTGGCTTTCCTTTTGGGTGCCTGGTGTCCAACCTAGGGAGCTATTACAGATTAACCTAATTTTGTGTTTGGAAATGTTGATATTTTTCATCTTTATAAACTATGCTGAAAAGATCACGTCCACTACTGTTAGACCTCCCACTTCTCTTATCTGAGTCAATGATACTTTGTTCTCTGCCTTTGGAGCATCCCTCGTCCCCCTAACTCTTGATCCACATCTCTGCCTTCCCACTGTGGATCTCTGGACCCACAGCTAAGAAAGAGCTTACTTCTCAGACCAAGAGCCGGCCCACCCTCAGGAAGGCAGCCCCACCCGCAGCTTGGGGAGGTATCTCTGGTGCTCCTGGTGTTTCTCCAGTCGAAACAGACTTGTCCTGTTCTGGCCTGAGCTCTGCGCTATAGTAGCAAGTAAGAGGTGAAAATGTTGTGAGAGGCAACCTGGGCATGCGGAGAGGTACCGACTCAGGGGCAAGGCTGCCCTGCCAAGTGTCAGGCTGCACGTCAGGTATGGTTATTCCACAGGGGACCATCCAGTTGCTCAGTGACTTTGGTGGAACACCGTGACACTTAAGAAAGAGGCAAGTCTACTATGGTGGTCTTGGACACTTACGATTCTGGGTCTGAAGGGTGGTTCTAGCTGGCGATGGTTCAGCTGGGCCCAGTCTATTTCCTTAAAGAAAGGGTGTCTCAGGATGGCATGCTCGCCGCCCTGAGTCAGGCTGCCCAAGCGCATGGTAGGGTTCTTGGTCATAAACTGAGAGAGAAGGGAAGAAAGAGAGTCAGTAGGTCAGTCATTTACAGAAAGTATGTCGCAAGATGGTAGGCATCGGCTCTGGTGGAGGAGCCCGTGTGCAGCTTTCGGGCTGATCTTTCTTAACTTGCTGAATTTTCCATCCCAGGCAGCATAGCCACCGTGAATCATCCCCTGAAGATGCAACTGCTTGTGTATTTGCGGCCCTCCCCACTTCCATGTCAGACGTGGCCACTAAAATAAAGCTGAAGGGTCCATTTTCTCTTCTGTAAATACCATGTATTTTTCTCTCCTCTTTAAAGAAAAGAAACTCTTTGTAAAAATAGCGAGCCTTTCTCCAGCTCTGCAGTTGTAGACAGTCTGCATCTTATGAATGGGGCTACTTTTGGGAACAGCTGTGCCATTTTCTGAGACCCGCCTGGCTGGCCGGGATTCCCTCTCCCTGACAAGACCACAGAGAGAGGAGAGAGGGCCGTTATTTTGAAGATCTCTGTGAAGAAGCCACAGGGGTGAAAAACTTAAAGTTCTGTGTTCTGGCTCTAGGACAAGTTGGCCACTTTTCTTTATGCAACAAAGATATCATAGTTTTAAATTAAAAGTTGTTTTTTCCCCTTCAAGATGCTCCCTTCTCCCCCGTCCTTGAATTTTGAAACGTTAAATGACTTGAGAATCTTGCTATATTAGCCAAAAATTAAAACAAGCATCGCCAAGGATTCAAGCAGTGTGAGTACATAAACCTTTTGTCTTTGTATCAACTGGGAAACTTCCCTGGGGCTGTGTCCCTATCAAGATGTTTTGGGCTAAATCTACTTTTGCAGAATGGCCAGTAAAGGCGTTCCAATCACATCCTGACTGGAGACTACACAGGATAATTCACTTTTCACGGCCAGAATGTGATTTTAGACTTCAAAGACACTGAAGCTAACTTAATTTCCCATTTTAAAAAGAAAATTGCCTCAGATAATACCTCTCGTCTTATGACAGCCCCTGAGCACCCCTTTCTAAGTTTGAATTTTGAATACAGGACAGAAGCGATGCTGTGCTCATAGAAACTGCTCTGGAGTGGAATTTCCAGAGTCAATAAAAAGGCGATCTCGTGAAAGGTGCAGATGTGAAAAGGTGGTGTTAGAGGTGGCCACACTGCCGTGCCAGGTGTCCAGAGCTGCTACACCTCCAGTGTCGCTTCCGCTGAAAATGATCATATGGAGAAAGGAGGTGGTGGTGAAAGTCCCTCAGCAAATCCCACAGGATGGGTCTCATAAAATGCTGAAAAAGCCTCAAAGGAGAGCCAATAAAAAGTGAAGACACGGATGGGGTTTGATGGCTTGTTCTCTCTCCTAGTGACAGGGATGCAAGGCCACAGGTGGAGCTGGACTGGAAGTGGAGCCTGAAAGGGAAAGGACATTTCGGAGCTCCATAGGGTCAATCAGAGCAGGCAGCCTTCCAGGCGCCTGCCATGGGCAGGGAGGAGTTAGGAAGTACGTTATCTCATAAATAACTCAGTTTTGTAAGAGCCAGGGGTTCATGCTGCTTGGGCTCTCCCTCGATGTGAGGAGTATTAATATTAGTCACTCAGAAAGGAAAGGGAAAATACATACACAAAAGAAACAGGTAGATTCTCTCCTTAGGAAAGTCAATAGAATACAATCCCTGATAGAAGAGCAGTGTCTATTCTAAGAACTGATAAACAAAAAACTGTACTTCGAAAACTCAGGTTACAAGGAGAAAAGATCCAAATGCCTTGTGGGAAATTCCCAGGCCTGCCAGTGATGCTAGCAGAGGACAGTTTGTGAATGTGTGGGTACAACTTGTTCTTCTGGGCAAGGGGAATGGTGCACAGCTCTCATGCCAGGGTGGCAGAAACACCAGTGTTCATGAGACCTTGCCCATTCACCCCTGCCCCAGCTCCGAAGCCAAGCTTCTACGGGGCAGTGGGGAAAGGTATTGCCTGAGGAAAAGGAGACCAGATCTTGGCTGCTCCTCTAAAAATTGCATCCCTGGAGACAGAGATGGGCAGAATAACCCTTTCCCCAGCTTGGTACTTCCCCTTAGGGTTCTGATAAATCCTTCTGGATAACAAAACACTTTTGTTTTGACTTTTTTTTTTTTAAAAAAGTATCTTTATTGATTTCAGAGAGAGGAAAGGAGAGAGAGAGACAGATAGAAACATCAATGATGAGAGAGTCACTGATCGGCTGCCTAGCCTGCAACCAGGGAATCGAACCCTGATCACCTGGATCCTAGGTCGACGCTCAACCGCTGAGCCACACCTGGACGGGCTGTTTTGACTTTTAATATCTTGTCTTGATCCCTTAAACACAGCCATCCTCACTTAAAGTTTAATTCAGTTTGATTTACAAAGGTTGACAGGTGTCGACTGTATGCAAGGCAGTGCTTTAGGCCTCATGTAGACACAGGTGACAAGGACAGTGGGGGTGACATGAGGATGAAGGAGCTGATCCAGAGAAGGGGGGAGAGGCAAGCAAACTTTACCCATAAAACACAGCTGGATGAACTGAGAAGAGAGCACGGTGCTGGGGGAACCCTGAAGACAGACAGGGCCAATAGCGTTGGGCGCTGGTGGTAGGAAAGCAAGTAATGGCCTCATGGAAGAGGTGGCACAGGACAAGAGATGAGGCAGAAGAACAGAATGAACAAAGGGACAACTGTCTTCCTCCTTCATGCCTAACACAGCACAGATGATGCACAGAGGCACATGGGCGCCTAGTATGTTGGTGGCGAAGCACGTGGCGTGATGCGGCTGGCATGTGGTTGAGGAGCCAGTAGGATGCATGAAAAGTGCATGAAGAACTGAGTGACAAGAGCTGCCCTGTGATTTGGGAGGTGACTCTTGCCACAGTGTGATGAATAAGGCCCGAATGGAGGGGTCAGGCGTTGGTGGCGGGTGAACAGTTGAGGAGGCCGAGACAAAAGCTGAGAAGACAGGACAGGTTCAGAAGCTGGAAGACTGGTTGGTGGGAAGGAAAAGCTGCGAGCAAGTCGGGCAGGGCCTGTGGGAGAGGAACAACACAATCCAGGCAGCCGGGAGCCGGGAGAAGGGGTCAGGAGGCCGTTCAAGGTCACAGGGCCCTTGCGTGCTGGCCAGCTGGCAGAGCGGTGGCGCTAACAGGAGGAGCAGCAGATTACTGTGCGAAGTATTAATAGTGACGGGAAGAAGAGCGGTGGTGGCAGTATTTTTGTTAGAGGAATGAACAAAAGCACCTAACATTTCTCGAGACCCCCAGTGTGCAGAGCTGGGAGGCAGGTGAACTCGGCTTTGCCTCCGAGGTGCGGGGACCTCCCCGCGGAGGTGACCGGCTGTGAGAGTCTGCATGCAGCCCAGGGTGACAGCGCTGACGCTGAGACGGCGGCATCTGGTGAGAGCAAGAGCTAAAGCCGTGAGGGCAGGCGAGAGTGTGCAGAAGGGGAGCGAGTGTAAGGCTGAGACCTGCCCCAGGCCGCAGACATTTTGTTTGGCCCATGTAGGGTGTTTTAAATACTTTTAATTACTTGCCAAACATTTAGAGACTAGGAAATGTCTCATCACATAAAAGTCAAGTTTTCCGATTTCTCTTGGAAAATGGGATATTCGGAGCACCAGACCTGTATTTCTTCTGGGTAAAGATGGCCTGGAGTTGAACAGTGGCTGCCTCCTTAGACGGGGAGAGGAGCGCCGGTCGGCCACATGTCGCACCGCTCCCGGCTGGCTCCGCTCACTGCTGCACGGCTTCTGAGCCCTGGCCCAGAGTGAGAAGCGAGCCAGGGTGGCAGCGGGAGGGGCTCAGGAAGAAGCCAGAAGAGGGCAAATGGCATGAAACAGAAACCAGGACGGGGCCATGTCCAGGAGGAGGTACAGCCCCGCTGTGACTAGCCCCCTCTAAAGATGCAGAGATGGGGAGTTAAGGGAACAGGTGACATCAGTCCCCGGCCTGAAGTCTTTCACAGGACACAGCGGGAGAGGTGTGTAGAATTGGCGACCTAGGAGCTCACGGCCCTAGGCTAGGCACAGGGCTCTCCTAACACCGAGTCCCCACTGCTGAGAAGGGTAATGGCAGAATCTCTCACAGAAAACTTCCTTTATTTGCTTATGTCCCGAAGGGGACCCAAATGCTAAACAAGCTAACAATGCTTGAGCAATCATTTGTCTGTGTCTAAGGTCGCATTTAAAATGTGCCTCACCTCAGCTGACCTTCCTGACTGTGGGCCAAGCGAGAAAGTCAGCCAAGAAGAAAAATAAAGTAACTTCATGAAAGATTCTGGACACATTTACTGAAGGAGGCAGAATGTTTTCTAGGGTCAATAAAAGCACTTTATAAGCTGCGGAGAGTGAGGAGGCCTGGGTGGAAAATCTGATTCCACCCTGAATGTAAGTGTTAAGCTGACTGGGAGCAGGGACAGGAGAGTGAGCAAGACTCAGGCGCTCATTTTGCATTCCCCTGCCTTCTGCGGCCTTCATTCAAGTGGAGTTTAACTAGAGGCCAGAGAAGATTCAGTGGCCCACCTGACCTGAGAATGGGGAACTGCCCAGTTCTCTCAGGGCTGCAGAGGGCTGACCAGAGGGGAGAGCAGTGAGCCCTGAGTCTTCCCAAGGGAAGTGCTAGAGTGAAATGCAAGAGATTTAGGGCATGTTTATGCAAGAATGTCCTGGGAAGCTGACTGTAAACTAGGGAAAGATATATAAAAAATAGAAGAGTCCCTCTGGTTGGGAGGGCACTGAGGTTAACTGGTTAGGCGCTGCAGTCCCATGATCTGTATCTGTGTCTGTCATGGATGAGCTGTGTGACCTTGTACAAATCTCTTAACTTCTCTGGGCCTCGGCCTCCCCAACTATAAAATGGAGATTTTTCTGTATTTCAGAAGGTTGCTATGACAAGTAAATGAGATACTCCATGTAAAATGCCTGTCACATAAGAAGCCCTTAATAAATGTTCCTATCAGTAAGCATCTTGTCAAACCAGTTATAGGTCCATCCTGTTCTACCCAAAGGCAAGAGCATGGACTGA